ATATGGAAATAGTAATGGATACTGAAGAGTAAGGTAAGAAGGATGTAATTCACTGATTCGTTGTAATAATCCTGATGAAGTTTGAACAACAATATCTCTTTTTTCAATTGAATCACAAATGTCACCAACAACTAAAGCGGCAACCTCAGAAGAACTTGGTAAGTTATACGTCCTTCCATCTTGTTCTATTTTTCCAATTAATCTTAACTTCAAATTAGCACAAGGATTTTCTCTTACCATCCTATAAGACTTGACCAACGCATTATTTGAATCTAACATATCCTTCAAAAATTCTATAATCTGGACATCATATGATCTTGAAGTTGATGTAGAAGTGTTCGTTGGTCTACTGAAAACATTATAAACAATTATATAAGGTTAGTAAAACAAATCAATGAATTGAACTGATTTATTAAAGTTAATTGTAAAAATATACCCAAAACTTGTCGATCTATTTGATATCTCGTTCTCCGTATCATATATATATATATATATATATATATATATATATATATATATATATATATATATATATAACTGACAGAATTTCGGACTTGAACCAGGTGTGGGTAAAAGACTTCCCATACTATGATAATTTTGACCACTGAGTCTGAATATGTATGGTGCTTTGCCTCTGTTGATGGATGAATCAACTTTGCCTCCCATCGATGTGAATGAAAACATTGAATTGTAACGTCGAATGTTTTTCATGAAGTATTTGCTTTTTGAATCTACCGATCTATACATATTTCGGTATAATGACGGAGCCTCTTTTAAGGATGGTAGCTCAACTTTGCCATAACCGCAACAAAGGGAATAAGATGTATTGCCTTTTTTTTGCCCTCTAATCGATTCAGCTTTCCATAATTTTGCATGACAAATCTGACATATAACAATCTGGTCTCAATGATCCAAGTAATCTGTTGAATGCAAATAATTTTAAAAATAATAAAAAAAACTAAATTATAAAATAAAGTTTAATAATATTAAAAGTTTTAGAATTATCATCACTTTTGGATATACCGCGGAAAATATCTTCAATAATATGATCATCAATATTTTCTTCATCTAATGTCAAATCAAACATAGGTATAGCGGATACAGATGGAGTCTTCCTTTTTAATTGATGATTGACGAAGAATTTTGGTTTATTGACGAACAATTGCCGGATGTCGTGGCATTACCAAACACATAATTTTCTTTGTTAATAGATAGTGGTGTTTGAAGGTTATTATTTAATATATAACTGCCTGCTAAAAAAATACAAATTTCAACGTTAGCAATTTGTATGATTTATATAAAAGTCAAGCATATATATTTATATTGGTGTATTTAGAAGTACGTACCATTTGAAATGTTAGATAATGGAGTTCTAACATTTATATTAGAAGATATTGGTGTTTGGACATTATTGTTGAAAATATAATTGCCTGAAAAAATTAAAATACAAATTATAATGTTAGAAATTGTGACTTATATAAATGTGAAACATATATATGTTTATATTTGTGTATAGAAATACATACCATTTGAGATTGTTGAAAAGGGTGTTGTAACATTAATATTTGTCGAATGTGGATTAATAATTGTATGTTGGTATACAATTGATTTGACTAGGTTTATATTTTCCTTGTGTAAGCTAACATTTGTATAGTTATCTGTAGATATTAATCTACGACCATGAGTGTAGACATCTGTTATATAATGAGAAAAAAATGTTACTAACAATAGAAATAATATTAATTTAAAAAAACTAAAAATTAAAGAGTTATGCAAATTTTATATAATTTTTATGTTAAAAAATAAAATTTAAAATAAACAAATATAAATACCGTTATTCGATATGTAAGAAACATGTGTAATAGATGAATTTTGATGGGTTGATATGGTAAGTAATATTTTGGATTTTCTATTATCCAAATATAGTTTTCTGATTTTTCTCCTCTCTTTAGCTATTGTAGATTGTGTAGTATTATTTGTACTTGTAAAATAGTAGAAAACAATTTAAAGACATATTTTTTGATATAAAGTTAAATTTATTTTTGAAATATTAATTAATAAAATATTTAAAATAAATAAATAAAACATATAATCGTTGCAAAAAAAATTAGAAAAATTACCGGATTGGACACAATGAATAACATGTGCAGTTGGTGTACGAAGAGACGATGATATGGTATGTTGTTTTTTGGATTTTCTGTTATCCAAATATAATTTTCTGTTTTTCCTTTTCTCCCTGGCGTCTGTTGAATTCATGTCCTTGTTTGGTGTGTAATGACAATAATAGAATACGGTTAAAAAAAATTAATATTTTCAAATTAAAGACAATTAGTAGGTCATGTAATCTGTATAAACTTGAATACAAAAATTGATTAATAATGAAATAGCAAATAAATCCGGTCCGGAACAGGTTAAAGAGTTTTTATAGGATAACTATAATAATGGGTCGAAATTATGTACCGGTTAAACGAATAGTAAATATGGTTATAATACCCATTTCGGGACCAAGTGGTTTGCAATATATATATATATATATATATATATATATATATATATATATATATATATATATATATAATTAAAAAAAAAAACAAAAATTAAATTAGATTACTAAATAAAAGTTATATTAAATCTAATATAATGTTAAATATAAAACGTTTCAAAATAATGTAGTTTAGATTGAAAAATATCTCTAATAAATTGTGTTAGTTTTTTTTATTCCTAAATATCTCAAATATGGAGGGGGTTATTTAGATTGAGTTCTAACAATTTTTAAATGTTTTATTTTAAAATATGATGATGACTAAATAGTTTTGACATATAACATTTATTAAAGAAACAAACAAACCATTTTGTTATAACTAAATAGTTTTGACATATAACTAAATAGTTTTGACATATAACATTTATTACGTAATTCTTTACAATGAATTAAAGAAACAAACAAACCATTTTGTTATATGCGAAATTAGGATGAATCAGTTGCTATTATATTAAAATAGAGGGTGTAAATACAAACTATTTTCTTGGTATCAATCAAAAAAGGGGATAGCATACGATGTAAAAAGTATATAGAAAAGGAAGATACCTTGAGACGACTGAGGAAGTTGTGCAGATTCCGAAGAAAAATGATTTTCAGAGGATCGATTTGTTGTGGTTAAATAATGAAATCTGTGAAATTTTTGCTAATATTGAACCGATGAAAGCCTTCTAAGTATGCGATTTGCGATTTCAACAGGTAAAATATTAGGGTTTTTTTTTTTGATGAAGAAGCAATTTGCTTTAAATCGGGAGGAATAAGTTCTCATTATTCAATCCTTTAATCATGAGACTTGTTTATGTATGTGGAAAAATAATCCCGACTAACTCGCTGAAAATTTTTAGTTCCCGCTAGTGTAATTCCATTTTCGGATTTCAAAGTTCCCGCTATTGTAATCCCATTTTAAGGTGGATAATGATAAGGTTCTGTTGTGATTACGGATGATCTACCTGTTTTTTGTTTGATATGAGATACGGATTGTCTTTATTTTTATAAATTAGTCGGTAATCTGTTAATTATTGATCCTGATTAACACTATGCAACATACCGACATTAATATTTTGCGAAAATTTCTGGAGGATTGGAATCAATTTGTTAATCACTAATATTAGAATCGTTTTGATTAAAATTCTGTTTTGTAGGTTTAAGTTGATCATGTTTAAAATAAAAACTAACCCTCCTCTCATCTTACATGTTCAGAATCAAAACTACCAACACTTATTTCCTAATCATTTGGATGCAATTTGATGGGATGCAATTTGATGGGATCCAATTTGAAACTTCCAATACATTTCCATGTAAATCTCCCCATGAACTTTGAGATTGGTTTTACAATTTTTCCATACACTTTGTTGTTATGCATATTCTACTTATACCTGCAGGATAATCTTCATCATAATATACAAACAGACAGAGGGTAAACACATGTTAAATCAACCTTGTTAAAAGTTGAAGGTGTCCATGCGTATACAGGTAATTTAACAACGTCAACCCAAATAATACAATTATGTACTACAAATATTTTAATTATTTAGTATAATTTTTTTTTGAAGAGGTTTGAAATCAACAAAATAGGCCTTAATATCTTGATATTGGTTGAATTTAACACAAGTATTACATTTGATAAGTTTAATCCACACCCGATGTCCTCCCAAATACGTGATATAGAAACGTTGAAAACATTCTTTAAGAAAATTTTGATATAAATTTAAAACAATATTAATAATTGTAGTTTACATTCAAGTATCAGTTTATCTCACTTTAATTGTGGTTGTGTTCATTATATCTGTTATTTTACATTGTAAAAACATAAATGTTTTTGAAGTCTATGATCAATGATTTATATTTTTACATACTGTATATGTTATTTTAAGTTAGCAATTGTGGATTACATGGATTATAACCTACTTTTATAATTCATAATTGTTAAACGAAGTGAACTTTTACAATATTTTACACCAATCTGAATTAGTTTTGTGATAAACATATGCATATGCAAAAGTAGGTTGTCATATTAGGTCAAAATTGTTAAGAATTGTTAAAAAGTAAAGTAATAAAACAAAACACAATAACATGTATTGTGAGATATATAACAGTAAATATATTAAAAAAACACACTGCGTATATAACCCTGGAGTGGGATTTTAAATAGTATTAAACAGATAGATGAAACAATAAAGAACATTAACAATGGTGTTTTTCTAAGAGCAATATGCAATATATATATATATATATATATATATATATATATATATATATATATATATATATATATATAAAACATAATTTATGTAAGAAAGCACTAAAACAAACAGTGATGTTCACAAATGATTCAACCTTGGAAACCATGATGTTAAATAACCATCATGGAAAAAAAAATTGTTTATGAGTCTAAAGTAACAAAAAATTTCCTAACTTCATAATAAAATTAAAACTCAACCAATGTTTTTTGATGTAACCTTCACAAATTATTTACCCCTTTCCAAAACATTTGCATTACTCTTGAACTGAAACTTGTGTATGAAATCATCAGGCTTGCAAAATTGATTAAACGGAATAGATGTATTTGTATTCTTAGAGGAATCGGGGTGTTATCTCCATCAAAACTGTTTTTATAAGAAAAATAAGTAATATTAGTCACATAAAGGGTAATTAAGTAATTGTAGAAATAAGATAATATAACTTATATTACCTTTTCTTGTAAACATTGATTTCATTAATGTCAGAGTTAATGAACATCTTTGTCACAGATAAATAGATGTTAAGTGTCGGATGATCTAAAATAACAGTATAAGTTTTAGTTGAATAATTATAAAATAAACTTTAATTAGAAAAATAATTACCTCTCCAAAGTTTAACAATTGCAAATTGAAGGTTGACAGTGATACGAAGACCGTGTGGATTGTTATCAATAAAATTTTGCATCTTGTAAGCATAATCCCCCCATAAGTTGACACGAATCTGTAAACCACTGTAAAATAAATTGTTATAAGTAATTGAATAGTCATATTATATATTATAATAAAAAAATGTATAAAACATCTATAAACAAACTTTGCATCTTGGATTTGGATGGTGAGTCTGTGTTTTTTCATATCAGAATCATCTCGCAACATGCCACCAAAAGCAACTACCCATCCAATTATATCTATAAAAAAAACAAAGAAGAATATTGTTTTATTGTGAATGTTTATATATAATATTTTATTTAAACATAAAATTTGTCAATAATTAACATATATAACCGATAGCAATGTTTTGAGGATGGAGCAATGAGATAAGAGTTTGATAGTCAACAAACTCAAAACCAAATGTAGGTCCAGAAAAGTCATCACATTCCGTAACAACAGTGTTACAGATGAAAGTAAGCTGATGATGAAGCCGAGTTAACCTCAAACCACACATCCTTTGTGATGCAAATATTGGATATTTAATGTAAAATGCATGCCCATCTTTTAAAATGTCTTTGAATCTAGGTATATTTTTCTTTGAGATAATTGCTTGGATTTTGTTTCCCTAAAAGAATTATGATATAAATTGGCATTTATAATTCACTCATATTAGATTTGTATGTGTAAAGAAAAATATATTATTAAGTTACCTGTTCATCTATTAGGATCATTTCAATTGAGTAAATTTCATCCTTGTTATAGAAAGAATTATGTTTTCATAAGTTTATGACATGAACTTTGAAAATCAAGTCATCCCTAGTTACATCCACGTCAGCTATGAAGGTAACATTTGTTGGTGTCATTTCTGTGAAAAAAAATTACAATAACAAAAACTTAATAACAAATTGTTGTAAGATATTGCAAATAGACATCATTATCAGAAAATTAGTTTGTATTATATATCACATAAACAGATACGTATAAGAATACAAACATTATAAGTTTAAAAACTGAATAGTTTTTTGCAAATTTGGAAAGATGATAAATATTGTTTAACAAAGATACTTAATATCTTTTAACATATTGTCTAAAATTACTACAAAAAAAAAAAAAAAAAAAAAAAAACTGTTTTTGTAAGACATTGAAAGATTAAGAAATAAAAACATAAATGGAATGGGTTTTTTGATGTAACGTTTGCAGAAAAAAAAAAAAAAAAGAGCAGCCCATTTCTGTTAAAAGAAACAGTAGCAAATAATTTATTGAAGATATTAATTTCATATTAATCTATACAAAATAAGAAATATATTTAAAATAATAGAAACATATGCATATGCAAAAGTAAGTTGCCCTATTATAACTTTTTTGTATTCTGTTAAAAAATAGATCGAAAAAAAAAATAAACAATATACTTTATTTTTCTGCAAAATTGTGAAGATTTACCTTGCACTCTAATCAAAATGTGTAGACATAATTTTCAGAAAATTAATTTAAAAATATCAATTAAATAGGGTTTATTATTATTTAATAATACAAATAGAAAAAGATATAAATGTAAATTTCTGTTAATAAAATGTTTTTGAAAATGTTAACTTCCTATTATTATATAAAACATAAAAAGAAAAGTAAAATAATAGAAACATATGCATTTGAAAAAGTAGGTTACCCTATTAGATAAATTTTGTATTCTGTTATAAAGAGGTCGAAAAAAAATTAACAATATTGATGATTTTTCGATTTAAAAATTATGAATTCTTACTTTGCAATATAGTCAAATTTTTTAGACATACTTTTTCAGAAAATTACTTTGAAAATAACAATTTAATATGGTTTTTTTATATGTTAAAAAATAAGTTCGAAAATAAAAAGAACGTAGTTTTTTTTCTGTAAATTTGTGAAGATGATCGATAGTGTTTATTTAGCAAAGAAAATGAATAGTTTTTAACAGAGAAGAAATGAATAATAGTAGAAGAATATATTAACATAAACATAAAAAATCAAACTTACAATAAACAATTTATCATATTTGCAGATAAATAAACCGGAATGAATTGCCTGCAATGCAAACTCTTTTAGGGTTTAGATGATTTAGATATGAGACAGACGGTTGGAAAATATATTAGTCGTATGGTATATATAAGTGAAAATATTAAGTTTATTCAAAGATAATTTAGAAACGATTTCATCTCCTATTATGTAGCATATATCTTTACTATCTTATAAAAGAAATCTAACTATTTCTAAAAATAGATTGATTATAATAATAATATTTTTTAAGACGTCCAAATAATGAAGCTGATAGTACAAGTAACCATTAGTAAAATAATATTAAATTTTAACCATATTTTGAATTCAAATATTTATCATCAAATCTCCTTATATTTCTCAGCAATTTGATATGGTTCCCTCAAATCCCGGATTCATTCAAATTTTGAATCCTTTTAGATATCCTTAAATTTAGGATGTTGATTCAAATATCCTTCTAATCGCATATACCTTTTTGTTCCTTCCTCTGTTATAAAGCCCACCGTCCAGGAATAAAAAATGATTTTATCTCTCAAATAACACCATAGTTTGATTATTTTGTCTTCAACATGTACTTTCTTTTGTAACATAACATTTTTGTAGAGGAAAACATATCATCGAAAGAATTTACACGTCCCGCCGCTTTGCGCGGGTACACTGCTAGTATATGGAAAAAGATAATTAATTGAATTTGACTTTAAGAATGTTCGACATTTAAATATAAAATTATTTAAACTTAAATTAAATTTCAAATTTTCAGCTCAATTTGAATTTCAAATCCAATCCAATGCAGCAATACATATAGAGAAAAGAGCAAATGGGAATTGATAATAATTGGCTCCTAAATTGTAGGCAATCAAATATGGTATTTGAAGGATAGAATCTTTAATACATAATTACACATACATATTGATTTTAAACATATACGTTAATATTGCAATTTATGCAATAACATAATCATAATGTTGTATATGTAAATTGATTTAAATTGATTTTGTATGCAGGAATAGAGATAACAAATAAATAAAGTTCACCAATTTCGACTATTGAACATTATGGAAACAAAGTTGATATTTAATGGTGTGAGTTACTGGTCGAGATTTCAGGTTAGATTTTTGGAGCATTTTGTATTGTTATTATTTTAACTTTTATAATTATTGATCGTTATGCAAAAGTAGATAAATTAATAAATAAAAACATAAAGTAGATTGGCCTAAATTTTTATTTGTATATATCAAATTTAATATAATGATAATATTCATCCTTTAATCCTTAAAATAATCTATATTGGTTGTTTTTCCATAACAAAATGGCATAATCGTTCTTTAGTAGAAATAAACAATATACTATGAAAAGGAAACATTAAGAAATAAAAACATAAAGGCTATGATTTTTTTTGACAAATGTATGAATATGAAAAACTATATCATCTCCATGCTTAATAAAAACATTTAGTCAATATTTTTTTTAGAATTTGTAACTTTATTTTATTATATAACACATAAACATAAACAGAAAAGTAAAAGATTACAAACATTAGTAAATTGTCGTAATTTTTATTTGTATATATCAAATATAATTAAAGGGCAATATTCATCCTTTTATAATAAAAAAAAGTATGTTAGTTGTTTTTCAATAACAAAATGGCATAATCGTCCTTTACTAAAAAATAAAGAATTACTATGAATAGGAAACATTAAGAAATAAAAACATAAATGCCATGAATTTTTTTGATAAATGTATGAATATGCAAAATTATGTCATTTGTAATAATAAAAACAGTTACATAATATTTTTTAAAAGAATGTAACTTTTTATTATTACATCATTTGTTTTTCCAGATGGTTTTGCTGCACCTAAGGGCATAATCCTACGTTAGTAAAAATAAACAATATACTTTATTTTTCTGCTAAATTTGATAGATAATCAATGGTTTTTACCAAAGGAAATAAATAGCAGGCCATTGCTATTAAAATAAAAACAGTCAGTAAATACTATAACACATATTAGAATAAGTAAACACGTTCACAAACATAATAGAATGGCATAATAACAAAAAATAGAAAACAGGAATAAAAATAATTTTATTAATGTACCATAAAACCAACATTTAAAAAAAAGCATGGGAAACAAATGTTTGAATATGGAAAAACCATAATGTGAAAATAATCAAGACAGAAATTAAAATAAGTAATTGTTCATGTAATTGTCAAACATGCCAACTTTTCAGATTCCCCACCAAAACATAACTCAATCATTTTTCTCCAACTTTACCTTCAATAACTGTTTTCCTAGACCATCTGGAGATATTTTTGGAGTTTTTGATGATGATAAGTGATCATTTAACTCTAAATCGAAAACCTCTTCAAGATTTCGCTTTAAGACCGGTGTTGTGGTCAAACTCTTCATTGGACTTGTTGTCTCGTTTTTGTCGACAGTGGAAGGGGTTATATTATCGTCCGTGCCTGAAATTGCATCGTAAAAAATACAAACTTATAATATAACTATTTTGCAAAATAAGTAATGTTTTCAATGATTATAAATATGTTTAACCTTTAAATTTCTGAGGTCTTGATATTGCAAATCTGCCGAACCATAATCTAATGACTGTGAATTAGAAGGCTGTATAATACAAAAAATAAACAATCAAATAATGAAATAAAAAGTATAAGTATATTTAAAAAAATAACAACAAAAATTAAGTAATAAAATAACCTGTGACTCGGTAAACTTATTTTCAAGTTGTTGGATTAAAGTCTCATCATCACTGATTCTAGCAATACCATATTGGTTGTTGTTTTTTTTTGGACACATTGAAATTTTTAATAGAAATCTTGAAGGTCAATTTCAAACCTTTCAAAGCATTAACTTCCTCTGGATAAAAATCAAGATTGTCTCCAAGCTGCAATTAAAAACGATAAAATAACATTTTGAATAAAGTGATTGTATATAACAAAATAATTTAAGGATCATTAAATAAGTAGAAGACATGTTCAATTTTTTTTTTTTAACCAACTCTTTCGCAGATTGTTTCAACAAATACTTCCCTTCTCTCTCAAACATGGTTAAGCTTAGAGTTCCAGTATTATCTTGCACACATATAGGAATCATAAACCTATAAAAAACATAAAAATGTAAAATAATATTAATCTTGTGATAAAAATGGAATATTAGATAGTTAATTATGATTAAATTGTAAAGTAACAACCTTGGAACGAGAGAGGTGGTAGTTTTTGTGCAACTTTTATTATGACATTTATAAGGTTTGGTTAGATGAGAATCAACTTCATCTGATGGAACTGCTTTTCCAAAACAGTTGGTACATGCAAGATAATACCATTTAAGATTCTGTAAAATACCCTTTATAGTCCCCACGATAACAAAATTGCATTCGTGCATCAAAAAAATGTATGTTCTTTAAATTAACATAAGTAACACAAATGAAAAGGAAATGTATTTAAATTATATAATATGAACATAAAAAACACAAACACAAGATAACAATATTTAAAAAACAAAATAAATCGAAACAAACAATAAAACATGAATTACCTCGACGGGTTCCAAAACCTCAGCGATAGCCTTCAAGTTATTTTTTACAATGAAATCATCATATTCAGAAAGTTGATTGGATTTAATAACTGAAGATGTATTTGTAGATGAATCGGGACGATCATCTCCATCCAAACTGTTATGTATGCAAAAATAAAATTATATATATATATATATATATATATATATATATATATATATATATATATATATATATATATATATATATATATATATATATATATATATATATATAGGATATGGATCCGGTAAGAAAATTTTTTTGGTAGGAAGGTAAGAAGTTTTTTTTCTACATATTTTTTAGACGAACAAAATAAATGAATCACTAGATGATTTATTTGTAAGATGATTCACAAGAAAAAATTCTCAAAAAACATCTTTATGATTCATTTTTACGTAATTTAAGAAAAAATTAATTTTTATGACAATTTTAGTGAATAACAACAAAATCATTGTATAAATGAATCATCGAGATTTTTTTTGAGAATTTTTTCTTGTGAATCATCTAATGATTCATTTTGTTTGTTTGTGAAAAAAATATGTAGAAAAAAAACTTCTTACCTTCCTACCAAAAATTTCCTTCTTATTTGATCTTAACTCTATATATATATATATATATATATATATATATATATATATATATATATATATATATATATATATATATATATATTCACAAAATTTAAAATATAAATTACCTTTTGATGAAATCATTAACTTCATGTATGTCGGAGTTAATGAACAACTTCGAAGAGGTAAAGTAGGTGTTTACACTTGGACGATCTATAAATTCAAATATATAAATATTATTTTAATGATGATAACATAAGTTTTAATAGCACAATCAATATACCTCTCCAGACATTAATTTGACCAAACTGAAGAATAACAACTATACGACGATTATATGGATTGTTATGGATATAATCTTGCATCTTGTAGGCATAATCGCCCCACAAATTGACACGAATTTGCAAACCTCTGTAAAGTAAATTATTGATCAAGAAAATGATATATTAACGAAATGCAGTTTAAAATTTAAAAGTTAAAAAATATAAAAATATAACAAAAACAACTTTGCATCTTGGATGTGTATGTTTAGCTTGTGTTTTGTTTTATCTGGATCATCTCGTTGTAGTTCAGCAATTGCGATAACCAAACCCATAATATCTATAAAAAAATGCAAATGAAGGTTATGTTGGGAATCGCAAAACATAATATTATATTAAAATATATAATGAAATATACTAACCAACAGACGTATCTAGAGGATGGGAAAATGATAACACAGTTTGATAATCAACGAATGAAAAGCCAAATTCAGATCCAGAAAAATCGCTACACTCCGTAACAACAGTTTGTTGGACTAATGTCAGTTTTTGATCATGAGGAGTTAACTTAAAACTACCGCTCTTCAGTGCTGCAAAGTTTGGATCATTGATGTAAAATGACATCCCATCCTTTAATACATTCTTGAATCGATATATGCTCCTTTTAGAGACAGTAGCTTGGATTTTGTTCCCCTAAAAATATTTAATACAAAGAGTAAAACTTCAAAAGTAATTAAAATTATTGAAATATGTGTAAGAAATATATTAATTTATTTTTTGTAGGATACATCTTCATCCATCAAGATTTAACTCAATTGAAAAAATTTCATCTTTGTTGTAGAAAGACATTTGATGCCAAAGGTTTATGACACGGAGTTTGAAATTCAAGTCATTCCTAGTTACATCCACATCAGCTATCAAGGTAAGATTTGGTGGTGCCATTTATCTACCAAAAAAAGTAGGTTGCCCTGATTGTTATTAGTATATATCAAATATAATATAATAATATAATAAAAGGGTATATTGATCATTTTAATAGTATCAAGAAAGAATATCAGTTGTTTCTTTTGCACATAAGGTCAACATCGTCATTTAGTAAAAATAAACTGGGAACTTTTAATTTTTATAAAAAAAAATTGTGAAGATAATCAATAGTAGATAATTTATGTTAAAATATCTGTTAGTATAACACATAAACAGAAAACTAAAAAATGAAAACATATACATATGCAAAAGATAAACATAAAAGTAAAAGGGCATATTGATCATTTGAATAGTATCAAGAAATAATATCAGTTGTTTTTTCTGCACATAAGGTCAAGATCGTCATTTAGTAAAAATAAACTGGGAACTTTTAATTTTTATAAAAAAAATCGTGAAGATAATCAATAGTAGATAATTTATGTTAAAATATCTGTTAGTATAACACATAAACAGAAAACTAAAAGATGAAAACATATACATATGCAAAAGATAAACATAAAAGTAAAAGGGCATATTGATCATTTTAATAGTATCAAGAAAGAATATGAGTTGTTTTTTCCGCACATAAGGTCAAAATCGTTATTTAGTAAAAATAAACTGGGAACTTTTAACTTTTATAAAAAAATTGTGAAGATATTCAATAGAAGATAATTTATGTTAAAATATCTGTTAGTATAACACATAAACAGAAAACTAAAAAATAAAACATATACATATGCAAAAGATAAACATAAAAGTAAAAGGACATATTGATCATTATTAAAATAAACATTTCGAAAAAAAAGGGGATGTAAATCCTTTTATAGTAAGCATAAAAGATGAAAACATATACATATGCAAAATTATGAATTTTTAGTTTGCAATATACTCCAATTTTGTAGACATACTTTTCAGAAAATAACTTTTAATAAAGGAATCTAATATGATATTTTTTCTGTTAAAAAAAATTCGAAAAATAATATAGTTTTTTTTCCTGCAACTTTGTGAAGATGATGAATAGTGTTTAGCAAAGGAAATCAATACTTCTTTAACAGAGAAGAAAGGAATAGAAGGAGAAGAATTTATCATTAAAAATCAAACTAACAATAAACAATTTATCATATTTACAAAAAAAAGAAAAACAGGATGAATTACCTGCAATGCAGACTCTTTTAGGGTTTAGAGGCTTTAGAATTGAGACAGACGGCAAAGGTTGGAAAGTATATTAGGTGTATGGTATTTATAAGTGAAAATATTAATTTTATTAAAAAATAGTCGATTTCATCTCCTATTATGCAGCATATATATATATATATATATATATATATATATATATATATATATATATATATATATATATATATATATGGAAAAAGATAAGGAATTGAATTTCAGATCAATTTAAATTTCAAATCCAATGCAGGAATTATTAATTTTATTAATTATTAATTTATATTTATATTAATTAATGATTGAATGCAGGAATACAAGGAAAGTTATCATAAAAAGCTCCTAAATTTTAGGAATCGTGGCAGATTTCTTGTTTATTCATTTTGATATTGAAAATTGGCGGGAGAAATTTGTTAAAAAGCTGGAGACAATGACACGTGGCAGAGTTCTAGTTTATAAGGAGTACATGTGGCATGTAAGAGAGGTTTTTATTAAGCAATGGAGAAGTGATTAACACATTTTGCTATTCTCTATAATTGTTGGATATCTTTGAATCCTAGTTTTTATATACGAGATTATGCAATAGAGAAATATTTTGTCTCATGTGATTTTTAAATTGATCTAATTTATGATAAATATTATTAAGTGTATCTTTCTACTTCTTATAAATGTATGTAAGATTTGATTTATGAAAAATATAAATATATGTAAACGCGTTTCATATTAATCTCTACATATTCCACGTATCTGCCTGAGCTACAATTCGGGTGGCTAAAATAAAATGTTCGTTTTATTTATTTATTAAAAGTGATTAACATATTTTGCTCTTCTTTATAATTGTTGGATATCTTTGAATCCTAGTTTTTATATACGAGATTATGCAATAGAGAAATACCTTGTCTCATGTGATTTTTAAATTGATCTAATTTATGATAAATATTATTAAGTGTATCTTTCTACTTTTTACAAATGTATGTAAGATTTGATTTATGAAAAATATAAATATATGTAAACGCGTTTCATATTAATTTCTACATATTCCATGTATCTGCCTGAGTTACAATTCGGGTGGTTAAAATAAAATGTTCGTTTTATTTATTTATTAAAAGTGATTAACACATTTTGCTATTCTCTATAATTGTTGGATATCTTTGAATCCTAGTTTTTATATACGAAATTATGCAATAGAGAAATATCTTGTCTCATGTTATTTTTAAATTGATCTAATTTATGATAAATATTATTAAGTGTATATTTCTACTTTTTACAAATGTATGTAAGATTTGATTTATGAAAAATATAAATATATGTAAACGCGTTTCATATTAATCTCTACATATTCCACGTATCTGCCTAAGCTACAATTCGGGTGGCTAAAATAAAATGTTCGTTTTATTTATTTATTAAAAGTGATTAACATATTTTGCTCTTCTTTATAATTGTTGGATATCTTTGAATCCTAGTTTTTATATACGAGATTATGCAATAGAGAAATACCTTGTCTCATGTGATTTTTAAATTGATCTAATTTATGATAAATATTATTAAGTGTATCTTTCTACTTTTTACAAATGTATGTAAGATTTGATTTATGAACAATATAAATATATGTAAACGCGTTTCATATTAATTTCTACATATTCCATGTATCTGCCTGAGCTACAATTCGGGTGGTTAAAATAAAATGTTCGTTTTATTTATTTATTAAAAGTGATTAACACATTTTGCTATTCTCTATAATTGTTGGATATCTTTGAATCCTAGTTTTTATATACGAAAGGGTAAATTACACCATTAGTCCCTCGTGCATGTGCCCAAAAGCACGTTTAATCCCTATTTTCAAAAATTAACTCGGACGGTCCCTAGGTTTGTTTTTTCATACACGCTTAGTCCCTCCAGAAATAAAAAGACTATTTTACCCTTAACAATTTCTTTTTTAATTTTCTTTTATTCCTTTATTATTTTTACATTAAAAAGAAAAAAGAAAAAAAACGTATCTTTACCCTCCCACCTCCGCCTTATTCTTACCCCGTACTCGTTTCCCCCTTTTCCTCTCTAACTATCGACAGATTGCAACCATCAAGCCGCCGTCAACCATGAAGCATCCACCGACGAAATCTACTTATACACTGTCTTCTCTCTTCTGGAACCTAACTGTCGACCACACATCTCCTCCATTTCTTTCTGTGCATCTCACAAACTCTATCTCAGCCACCATAGGAGCAAGGCAATCATCAGAGCAACCATCGCCGCCATCGTTCATCGTCTGTACACCACCCTTCAACCGCACTCCTGCCAACACCCTTCATCTGTGTCATGATCCTTATCGAATAGAAAAAGAAGAAGGAATCTGCTATTTTCTGCCTCCACCTCCGTTTGAAACCGTAGTTGCATCTCTATTTCAATTTGAAACCCCAGATTCGGTGGTACTATAGGGTTTCGTGCCAAATCAAACTCATTACAAAGTTTCAAATTGGAAAAAATCGAGTATGCCACCCGGTACATTTCCGATGCGAGATGTTAATTTGCTGGGGAGGAAAAATTTTCTTCAGTTTACAAAAGGGTTTTGAGAGATAGATCGGATGTGTTAGTGAAGTGTTTAGAGGTGGATGATTTTTAGTGTATGATTTTTCATCAAAAAGGAATTGTTGAAGGAAGATCCATATTAGGTTTCTGGGTGGTGGTTCCGGTAAGTTTTAAAATGGGTGTTGGTTGTGGTTTACGACGGTGAACACAGGTGTGACAAGTGTGTTCTGATTGTGGTGTAACCAGACAAAGGAGGAGGTAGGAAGTTGGTGGTAGGTTTTAAGATGTTTTAAGGTTTTTGATTGAGGAAGAAAAGTGGAATAAGGGTGTAACTAGGAAGGTGGCGATGGAATAATGGTGTTTGAGCGATGTAGGTGGTGTGCTCGATCTGATAGTGGTTGCCCTATTTTTCCTTTTATTTTTAAATTAAGACTAATAATTATAACATTAAATTAAATGGAAAATAAAAATAAAAGGGCATAATAGTCATTTTATATCTCCTAAGGGATGAAGCGTGCAAATTTAAACTAACAAGGGATGAAGTGTGCAACTTTTAACCAAACGAAGGACGGTCCGAGTTAATTTTTGAAATTAGGGACCAAACATGCTTTTGGGCACATGCACGAGGGACTAATGGTGTAATTTACCCTATACGAAATTATGCAATAGAGAAATATCTTGTCTCATGTTATTTTTAAATTGATCTAATTTATGATAAATATTATTAAGTGTATATTTCTACTTTTTACAAATGTATGTAAGATTTGATTTATGAAAAATATAAATATATGTAAACGCGTTTCATATTAATCTCTACATATTCCACGTATCTGCCTGAGCTACAATTCGGATGGCTAAAATAAAATGTTCGTTTTATTTATTTATTAAAAGTGATTAACACATTTTGCTATTCTCTATAATTCTAGTTTTTATATACCAGATTATGCTATTCGACGTATCTTTGTACTTTTTATGTAAGATTTGATTTATGAAAATTATAAATATATGTAAAGGCGTTTCATCTCTAGATATTCGGTGTATCACAATAACCCTAGCCTGGTTATGGAGCGAAAAAAACGAAAGAGGGAGGAAGTCCATCCTTCCCGTGATAACATTACGGAGGAGCTGCCACCTGACATAGTTTTGTTCCACATACTACCACGGCTGCCGGTGAAGTCTGTATTGCGTTTTAGGTCGGTTTCCAAGCAATGGCAGTCGTTCCTAACAGGGCCTGCGTTTGAAGAGATGCACCGCCGCCATGTAAACACCGAGAAAATGGTTTTCTTATATGCCACGACGACATACAAGTTCAGCAGCATCGACTGTGAAAGACCTAAAGAAGGTTTCAGTGGCGACCGCCCCTTGCCCTTCAAAGTCGGACCTTGTCAAATCGTCCGGATTCTAACTTCCGCGCACGGACTGGTATGCATAGGCATAGCCAATGTTAGGGGTCGGGGTCGGCCCCGGCCCCATATAGATACGATTAAATACTCCGATTCTAAATATTCTGATCTAATTCTATGGAATCCGGCGACTGGCGACCACAAGACGTTGTCAGAACCCTTTGCCACTTTTCATCAAGATTGTTACTCGATCTGGGAAAGTCTATTTGGGTTGTATTATAGCTCTTGTGACGATGACTACAGGCTTCTACGAGTAACCCGTCGTCTCAATGTTTATATATACTCTTTGAAATCCGACTCATGGAGAAAGGTTGAGTCGGACTTACAACGTCCGCGTTCATATTTCTGGTTGCGAGGTCGTTCATATTCCTGGGCGCCAGGTGTTTCGTTGAATGACAACCTGTATTTTTTAGAATATAGTGTTGTGAATTCAGATTCAGTTTTGAGGTTCAACACAAAGACTGAAACGCTCAAATTGATAGCAACTCCGTTTTTAGTAAATGAAAATCGAAATACAAGTTCAACTTGGTTGAGTTTCAGGGCTCAGAGAGATGGCTGCGTTCACTTGTGGGTGATTATTAAAAATTCTGTAACTTTGTCTTGTGAGAGCGAGTTGTGGAGGATGGACGAAGATGGTAATTGGACAAAGTTGGGAAATTCTTGCAAAATATTGAATGATCCAGTGAATAATTATCATCGACTGCATTTGATGAGGAATGGAAATTTGCTCATGTTTGGTGAAGATTCTATTTACCAACTAGACATGAAAATGAATACCAGAGACTTGTGTTTCTATACCACCGAAGAGACGCGTATGTGGGTACAAGGGAAATACATTGAGACTATGGTGTCACCCAATCGGTATATATACCAGGTAATTATAATTATAATTATAATTATTAATTAACAACCCCCGGCCCCATCATAGATTCATAATCCCTCGTTATATCCTCTGTTAATTAGACTTTGTTTTGCTTAGTTATATCCTCTGTTAATTAGACTTTGTTTTGCTTAATGACACCAGCATATTTGTACATTATGTCCATTGACATACCACAGATCTGTAATTGTTATAAGTTAACAACATATATATATATATATATATATATATATATATATATATATATATATATATATATATATATATATATATATATATATATATTTGACAAACACAGGGATCAAATTTGTTGTTTTCTCTAGTAATAAAAATAAGAACTTAATTTAGAACAAAAACTAAAAAATGTTAAAAGAACACCCCATTCGAGAAGATAGCCTTTGAAATTCGTAAATGCTTCAAATCAGTTTCATTCAGCGTATTCTTGGAGGGATCGAACCAATTAAACCATTTAAAAAATTTAATCTGCTTATCCTTCTTGTTTCCATATACAGGACTCTGACTGCGCAGTGAAGAACTTGGTGTAGCTGTTGAAGCATGGCGAGTTGGACTTTTTGGCTTTATATGAACTAAAGTTTATAAAATTTCCATCGACTTTAGAGGTTCCCCCCCCCCCCCTCTTTAAAATAACTATAGGAACATGCAATATGTTTCGGTCATTGATGCTATTTTGTAACAACACAAATCTTTTATCATTTAGTAGTTACTTTTTTTGATATCTTTTACAAGACTAGCTTTAATTATTTTGCTGTATGCCTACAACATTATCTAGTGGAGTTGCAATAACCTAGGTTAGTTAATTGTTTTAGAAACTTTCTGTAATTACTATTAAGTAGGTTATAACATGTGGGCACATAAATTTTAAAATAATTTTAATTAAAGTATAACTTAATTATTGAGAATTGATAACAAAATCTTGAACAAATTATTGAAATGGTCTTTATGGTTTGCGAAAAATTCATGTTTGATCCCTAACATTTCTTTTGCACTCGGAACGTCTTTGATTTCGTTGTATTTTTGGTCCTTCTTAAACATAAAAAGACTATAATACCCTTTGTATTTTCTTTTTCATTTTTGTGAGTAATATGATAATTATATAATTATTGGTTGAAATTGCCAAATGATAGTGGTTTGAATATCTAAGTGACATTTTGTTTGTATAGATATGTTAAAAAATTATAATTTTGCAGAATGCAATATAAATTTAAATAAAACATATATTGAAATTTATATAAATAATAAAATTATACAAAGTTTTTATAAATTTCTAAAATCTTCTTTATACACAACAATGGATGTTTTATTTGTTAATCTATCATTTTTATCCAAAATTAACAATTTTGATCATTATCTATTTTGAACTCTGGAAATAACAACATACAATTGGTCATGTTATGCATATATAACTTTTTTTTTTCTTCCCTCTTTAGCGTCCATAGCATCCATGTTCTTGTTTGATATATAATAAAAATAATAAAGTAAAGTTAAAAAGAAAATTAATAATTTGAAAATAATTGTTACAGATGATTTGTAACTTATGTAATCCGTATAAACCTCAATTAAGGAATTGAATAATAATAAAATAGCAAACAAATGATAATTTTATCATAATGAGTAATCAATTATTTTTGAAACAATTATTAAAATCATATATATATATATATATATATATATATATATATATATATATATATATATATATATATATATATATATGATTTGTCTTTAATTTTATAAAATGTGATTTTAATTAATATTTAAGATGTTTTATTGATATTTAAGACCTTGTATAAATTAATATGTATAAATTAATAAAAATAGTTAATATTGTATAATGCTATATAAATAAAAAAAATTAATAAATACGACATATAATTTTTTATTTATAGGTTATTAGTTAATTTATATTTCTTTTAATATTAATGGGGGAAGTATAGTAATGAAAATTATGTAAATATCTTTTATTAGAAAAAATGAGAAACAAATAAAAAACATCATATTAATCATTTTAATGCTTATTCCGAACTTTTTATTTATCAAAAAACTCACCCAACATCTATTGGTAATCCCAAAACTTCCCCTTTCTCCTTTTGTTTATAACACAAATGCTGTAACACAAACCCACATCTAGAATTACAATTACATACATATTTTTGCAACCACCGATAATATCCATCCCGTATCAATTTCTGAAAGGGTGTTAATGTTTCTCCATCTCTATCGATGAAGGAAGATAGAAATGTGAAGTGAAGAGAAACTTACATTGATTAATAGCCAATTTCGAACTCAGAGATTGAATAAACGCAATTTTGGGGGTTGAAAAAAGCAAGATTGAAGGTAAGAGTCTAAGAGATAATCAAGTGATTTTTAATCTTAGTTCTTTTTTTAACATAAAATACATTACGTTGAAGAAATTTTACCTGATTTTTTTTTTGCTGAAATGTTGTATCTGAAGATATTAGCGAAAACTGAAGTTGTTCAAAAGATTACCCTGAAATTCTTTAAGAGTGGAAACACAATCAGGTAGATTTGTTTTTGGTTCGAATTTTGAAATTAAGTGTACTTGTTTAAATATTTGAATTTCAAATTTGCTATAATCCAGATATAATTTTGTGCAAAATTATTCACTGAATAATATGAATAAATAAAATATTTAGTTTAGTAATCTGTGTTTGACGTAGTTGGTGTTTTCACTTCTGCTACCATGTTTGATATTCTTTCAACTTGAACAAGCTATGACCTTTGAAAATATTCACGAATGTTAAATTTATCATTTATAATTTGTTTAATTATATGTCAAACAAATATAAGATTATCATAATTGTAAATTTATGTTTTACAGGTGATTTATTCTTTTTAATGTGATTTTGGCTACCATATTTGGTTCACTTATCAGGTTAATTGTTGCATGCTTTGTTTGCATGCCATATCCATACTTCAAAATTACCATTATTCACTTTGGCATAGGTAAAAACTTAAAACTTTCTCTCTTTCTCTTTAATTACTAATTACACCAATAATAAAACGTTATCATAATATTAGTATTGGAACACAGGAAATATTTGTAATGTGCAACTTGTTCTAACTGCAGCTTTACGTCACGATAAAGCAAACCCTTTTGGAGATTCTGATATATATATATATATATATATATATATATATATATATATATATATATATATATATATATATATATATATATATATATATATATATATATATATATATATATATATGCACTTGTGATGGAAATGCCTACATCTCCTTTGGACAATAGGTATGTCCCATTTTTTCTGAAAAGAACGAAAATAAGTGTGATCTTGGTGATAAATTGTTTAAAAACGGACATTGGAACAATTACATTCACCCAAAAGAAGAATGTTGTTAGATGCATAAACAAAAATTGAAAATACATACATTTATGATAATAGAGGGCAAAGTACTCTTTAAATTAAATAAATAATTATCATTGGTGAATTGAATTATTTAATTCTGAAACAAATCATTCCAACAAACAATGATCGTCAACAAATATTTCAACCTCACAAACCACAATGTCAAGCTACCAGCATGAAAAATATAAATCCGAAATTGTTTACAAACCACAAAGGGCATAATTATAATTGTAATTTATGACCTTCGAATAAACAAAAAACAGGCCACTTAACAATCCAAAACAAAATCACAATTCTATTTCATGAAAGTAGAATGTCATTTCATGAAAACAACCCCCATATGACAGTATATTCATGAAATAGAAGAACACAAAAGAAACCTAATGGAAAATAAACAGACATAAACAACAACAAAAACAAAGAAAATGAAAATAGTCAACAAATAAAGTATGAATTAGTTTGCATTTGTTCTTCTATTATATGTTTAACATTAAATATATGAAAGATATCATTACAATATAATACGTTTTCATAAGATTAGTTAGATTTTTATAGTATATATATGAAATAGAATAACACAAAAGAAACATAATGCAAAAGAAACAAATGCAAATGTGTGACAACCCGAAATTTCCATTCTGTACGAACTTTATCAAGTCAATAGAAGTTATAATAGTCACAGTAAATTTTCAGACTTTTCCGTATAAGTTTGAGTATTTCGGGTTTTACACTTAAGGAGATATCAGGAGAGTGGATGCACTAGGGTTTTGTGCAACACTGTTATTCCAAAACTCTATTATATTAGAGTTCATTACGAGAATAAAAATATTTTCTGCCAAAAATCCCAGGACTATAAATATGATTCTTAACCAAATTATTTCATTTGTTACATTTCCAACTAGAAAAAAGCCATTTTCTCTCTCACGGATCTTCGGGTTTTCATCCCAAATCGTGAGTACCTCTCCCTAGTTGTATTATATGGCTTATAATGTGCTTAATAACATAGATTACATAGCAAAACTGCAAGATTCGAGAGTTTACCGCCCAACAACGTTCTTGGAGAGTAATTTCTTTTATAAGGGTTAAATGATGCCTAGTCCCTTCCCCTTGTTAAGTAACTATCTTAGGCTTATATGTATGTGTATTTAAGACTAGAAAACATTCAAGAACACCAAGATTTAGGTGTTCACGGCCCAAGAAGTGCTTGGACCGTGAACTCCAAAAATCAAGGGCCAAAGAGTGTTTTAATCACTCCTAAAGCATTGGACAATAGCCTCTATTAATTCCTAGTTAATTTAGGGACCTTAAAACATCAAAAACCCCTCCCAAAGTGAGATTACGGCCCTAATCTCCATTTGAAATGGTTCTTGGGCCGTGAACATCAAGAAAGGGTGCCAAAATGTGCCTAATGCCTTCATTAGCCTTAGAAAATTGTCTAGAACCTATCCTAATTGAGTATGGGGCTTGAAAACATAAAAATACCCATTTCCATATGAGTTTACAGCAGTAAACTCAAAAGGAAATGGCCTTGAGTCCGAAAACTCCTAAAAGGAGTGTCTTAAAGCCCTAAACTATTCCAAGGATTTAACCACCAAGTAGAATTGCTTCTAGAAATCAAGTAACACTTCAAAACACATAATATCATTAAGCTTGGGAGCTTACGACCGTAAACTCAAGGTTTTACGACCGTAAACTCCTTGTGTGGGGTTTAATGAAGAGTAAACTCATGTATAGGGTCTTTTGGAACCCTAAACCCCTTTAGCCTTGTCCCACAACAACATAGATACAACAATTAGGACTTATAACACTTATACAAAGTGTTTTCATGTTCTAGAGTATCCCAACTTAATTTATTAGTTATAATTTGGCTAATTAGTTATATATATATATATATATATATATATATATATATATATATATATATATATATGTTCATTATATGATAACTAGGCTCGTGCGTGTGTACAAGTCTCCGTTTGCCACCAAGCACAGTATCCGACACTTTAATCCAATCCACTCACCACAAATGAGTTCATACCCCTTTAACTAACCTTTGAAATACTTTTAAATGTTTTAAATGCTTTTATGGGGGGAATACAAGTTGAATACTTATAGTTATTACATCAATCACATGTGATTAATAACTACCAAACCAATGATTTTACTACTGTTCAAACTGTTTATCAAACTGTTTTACAAACTCTTTTATTTATCAAATACTTTTACGTAAACTTTGTTATACTTATTATAAATTGTATGCCCATATATGTATAGTTATATAAGAAATGTTTAAAAAGCTTAGGAAGGCCGTCCGCCCTATTTCCTTTTCGCGCTTGAGATGTGGTCTGGTGGGATATCGGGTAGC